CTCTTAGCATGCTCAAGCTACTATTTGTCAATAATAACATATTTTATCCATCTCTCACACAAGTGCTCCGGGGTCAGGAATGCAAAAACCCAGAAGGTCCTTAGATGGCTGGAGGATTTACAGAAAGACCCCACCCTTCCCTGACATGTAGTGGTGGTGTGGAGCTTTGCAGCCAGATCTGGCAGCCCTCCTCAGTTGTTCTCCTCCCCACCCTGTCCCACCCCTCAAAAAAAGGGCCCTAAATCTAAGGCCCAAATGCTCCATGGACCCAAAGAACAGAAGAAGGAATCAAACCGCTAGCTGAAGTTTTTCAATACTGGGATAAATTCTCCAGCATTTCAAGCAGGAGTCTGTCAGCCTTGCAAGACAGTCCAGACAGGAAGCACGCCCAGATGAACTAATTCTACTTTATTGTAAGGTTACATTAACAGAATCTTGCAAGTCTGAAAGTATATTTCCCCCTTGTCACCTTTACAGCCCAAGAAGGGTCCCTTCTGAGTCGCTTGTCCCACCCATATTCCTTCTGCGGGCTGAGCTGACTCTTCTCCAACCTGGCTGTGGCTCTTCCCTCCCAAGGTCATTCCCACTTACTATTACAGAGTCTTCTCCAGCTGTGCTTGGAGATGCTAGGGAGTATACCTGGAGCCTTCTCCCATACAACGCAGGGCTTCCAAGAGTGAAGAAGTCTTCTTCTCCTACAAAAGTTCTAGTCCTCTATCAAGCTCATTGATAGAACAAGCTACTGATGTGGATCCAGCTTTTTTGCTTTGCCTTTCATGTGGGTTAGTTGCAGCTCTGCAGGCTGGAGTCTTGCCTAGCCCATTCTCAAAAGGAAGATGGTCCCCAAACAGCCACAAATGTGGTTGCTCCTCCCAAACATCTCGATTGAGCTTTTCCTCTCACGTTTGCCCACAAGCTCACCCAACTTCTTCTGAGCCATGAAGGCCTATATGTGATGGAATGGACTTATGAAGGCCAGGCTCAGAGAGATAAACGTGTTCTTAGTCCACAGCAGGAGTGTGGGAAGTGCAAGAGAATGAGGCTGGCGCCTCCCTAAGGAATTCACGGTGTTGTGGCTGGCTGGCTTGGGAGCTAGGGTTCAGTCTGGGAAGACTGATGTCAGGTTCAGCCCAAAGAACTCCAAGAGACAATGCAAATTCAGTTCCTCTGTGTTTATTAGCTACAACCTCCAGATAGGAATCTCCCCAGACTGGACCCTAACTCCCAAGCCAGCCAGCCACAACACTGTGAATTCCTTAGGGAGGTGCCAGCCTCATCTTTTTCTTTGGGCTGAACCTGACATCAGTCTTCCCAGACTGAACCCTAGCTCCCAAGCCAGCCAGCCACAACACTGTGAATTCCTTAGGGAGGTGCCAGCCTCATCTTTTTGAACTTCCCACGCTCCTGCTGTGGGCTAAGAACACGCTTATCTCCCTGAGCATGGCCTTCATAAGTCCATTCCATCACACTATACTAATTTGGCCGTTTGCTTCCTCATTGCTTTATGTCCTTATCCATCTTCCATAACCAGAAATGGCCAGCTCCGTCTTGGTCTGCAGGTAACATGCCGTGACTGTAATTTGCAGGCTGGAATTATTGCTTGATAATCTGCTTGAACACATCTAGTGAAGGAGATCTCACCACCTCTCTGGGTCGTTGGTTCCTTCCGGTTAGTTTTTTCTAGCATTCATCTGGAATCTGCATTCCTGTAACTTAAATCCATAGAACAAGAGAGAAGAAATGTCGACCTTCTTCCATGTGACCTTGTAGGTACTTGAAAAGGGCTATCATATCCTTTCCCCCCAGTCATCTTTTTTTCAAGGCTAAACATCTCCAGCCCCTTCAATTTCTCTTCACTGAATTTTGTGTTGGGTCTCCTGATCTTCCTCACTGTCCTTCTCTGAACCTTCCTCTGAATCCTTCTTCACGTCTGACTCCCTGAACCGGACAAGATAATAATCAAGGGGATGTCTGACACTTTGAAACAGTCTCTTTTTTTTCTTCCCCCACTTTGATTAAATTTTTGTCCTGACCTCTTCCTATGCTTTCCTTCCAAAATTCCACAGGATTGGAAAGAGCAACAAGAGGTTGTGTTGTCCTTATGTCAGCCTTACCAGGTAGGCCAGACAGGAAACATGACCAGATTTGCTAATTCTACTTTATTGTGAAGCTACATTAACAGAATCTTGCAAGTCTGAAAGTACAATTCACCCCAGTCTCCTTTACAGCCCAAGAAACTAGGGAGAGTCCCTTCTGAGCCTCTTTATCCACCCATTATGCAGCTGTGGGCTATGCCCTCTTTTATCTGTCCATTCCTTACACAGCATCTCTGGGCCCTGTCTCCCAAGGTCTTTCCCACATACCATTACACCTTAAGGGCTCTAATTCACTACCTGGGCATCTTTAATGATGCATCTTCACCATCTGAACTTCCAGGGTTGTTGTGGCATGGAACATCTTTGGCCATCTGGGGCTTGTGCACCAACTCGGGCCACCTTGCTGAAAGGGAGCCTTCAGTAATCCAAACCCTCATAATGCCTCATGCAGAATGATGCAACGGGGCTGCCCATCTAAAATCTTCAGTTATTACTAAATATGGTGGCAAGATTTCTGATTGGAACTGGATAGTTCAGTCTTATTAGGCAAGTATTAGAGCCGTGTTTCTCAAAATGGGCAGCGTGAAGACCTGTGGATGCTGGGGAAGCAGGATAGTGGGGGAATTCTGGGAGCTGAAGTCCTCATGTCTTCAAGTTGCCCAGTTTGAGAAAGACTGTATTAGAGCATCTTGACTGTCCCCCAGTTAATTTCTGCCCAGTTAAAATACTGGCACTGATCAGCAAGCCCTTCATAAGCATGAAGCCCTTTGAAAGAGCATCCTCTCCTATAAATTTCCATGCCCTACACTAGACTTTCCCAAATTTGGCCTTCTCCAGATGTGTAAATTTCAGCTTCCAGATTTCTCAGTAATAGCGATGCCAGGTAGGGAATTCTGGGAACGGAAATCCATTTGCTGGAAACATTCTGCCCGTATGCTACTATTTTGAAGTCCTGTCTAAGCACCCTCCGAGTTAACTACAGCAGGGGGCTCTTTTTAGGAGCAGGTTTCTCAGTGATGACCACCTCCCCAATTTTGGAATCACATGAAAGACACGTGTGCTGCCAATTGTCTTTTCGGCCCCAGATTCTTTTCCTTCTTCGAAGTCTTTCCATCCTTATGTTTATATTTGTCCCGCAAAGGGATCTTTTGATCAGTGTTATCTTTACAGCCTTTCATTCCTAAAGTGATTCCTTTAATTGATTGTTTTTGACATTTCCCTCTCTAGTGTGAAAGTACGTGTATGTGCGTGTTAGCCGTTTTGCCTTTAAACTTTATATATTTCGTTTATATCATTTGCATTTTGTACAGGGGGAGTTTGTGCAGAATGGGGTTTTCGCAATATTTCAGGCTGGCTGCCTCTCTCCTACCCTGGGGAAGCCTGTTTGGAAAGGTGACATGTCAATCCCACATATAAACAAGGAGAATAAGACCTTGCACTTAATTTAGATTCCCGCATCATCAGGGTCCTAACTGGTATAGATCAAACCCAGAGGGAGCCAATCTGCTATCTCTATGGGCCCTACCATTGCAATAAATTAATATATTTAGTAAACCCTTCAGGGAGTTGAAACTTGGAAAGGTTCATATCCAATAAAACTTTTCATCCCATCCTATTAAAAAAATGAAGCAACTTCCAGCCTTTTCAAATTTCCCCATTAGAGCCTCTGGAAGAATCTGCTTTTCGATTGGGGCTTTGAATCAGTCCAAATCAAATGGGTTTGTCTATGAGCCCGGCATCCCAAACTTGAGATGAATTGCATCTTGGCATCTTGGATCTTCCATTCAAATCGGATCAGGGCTGATTCATCCAGGGAGGCGGTGACTGAACGACGTTGCCTTTGGGAACTCTCCATGGTGCTGAAGCAGGACATCCCTTGTGCTCTCTGATGGTTTGTTTGTTTGTTTGTTTGTTTATTTATTTATGCATTCAATTTATATAGCTGCCCATCTTACTGTGCATGCGTGACTCTGGGTGGCTCACACAGTTAAAACTAAAAAAAACAAAACCCCAAACGCAAAATCATACCATAAAAATCATTAAAACACATTAAAAACAATTAAAAACCACAATAAATAATTTGCAAGAGTGCAATTTTATTGATTGATTAATTGATTGATTGGGCTGGATTTCTATAGCCACCCTTTCCAACCAATGACTCTTACTTACAATCCAACTTACTAACAATATAGCCATTTAACGCGCTCCACACCACCACTACCAGATCCCCAGGCCAGATGGCAAAGCCGGGTCTTCCTGTCCTTTCTGACAGCCAATGAAGTCAGGGCCAATCTGACCTGCTTGCTACCAGAAGAGTGTTCCTCCTCAGTTTTTAACACGATTCCCTGCAAAAACTGGACCACACCAAGCTATAACTCCATCAAACATCCCCACATATATTTTAAAATACCTGTTTGTTTGAGTCTGGCGATACCGCTGTTTCAGCAACAGGTACCAGGAACTGGTGGACCAAGGCACCTGCAAAAAACGAAGAGAGCCCACCACATGTATCTTTATTGAGCCAGATGGATACAATTAGAGCGATCGGAGTAAATGCATATGTGATTATCTTTTCCAATTGCATTCGCTCTCCCACTCTCCCAGTGATTGGGGTAGAGCTGGGGAAGAAAACAGCAAGCTGACGTTTATTGCAGAAAACCCAGGGCACAGAGTTAATTAGATGATCATTGCTGGTAGAATTGGAATGCATCAGAGGGAGGGAGAAGAAGAGAAAAGACAGGCTTGATTTGTAAAATTACCAGCTTTAAGAAAGCTGGATGGAAACACGAGTCAGCAGCCACGATGGAAGGGGCTGTGTTGTAATGGTGAGGGCAAAACGCCAAAATGCAATCTGCCAGTGGGAAAAAATAGGAAGGCAGCGTGTAACGAGGGGCTGTTGCAGAAGTGGGGACCCCTATGCCCAAGGA